GTGTGTCTTTTGGTGCTTTGTCTAATGAAGTTCCTTTGAGTCTTACTGAAAATGCTTGCAGTTTGGTCAGCGGAGGCTTTACAGGTCTTATCTCGCCATGCCAGCATTTCTGAATGCAGGCGTGAAGCTGAAGTAAAAGTTCTATAGTGAGCCCAGATCTCCCAGGGAGCTAATTTGGGTCTGAATTCCCTGTCGCAAGGGATTATTACTGCTTAATCTGCTAGTAATGTGGCAGTCTAATCAGGTTACTTTACTTCTGCATGCTGGTGCACTAAAGCTTGATTCTTCTTCCATAGAAGAAAATAACAAAATTCACACAGTGTTCTGCGAAGCAAAGTTTGGGTCTGCAATTTGCTTGGTGTGTTGTAAAAGTTTCACTGTTTTATCTTTCAGTATGAGAAAGAAATAGCAATTTTAAGATTTCAGGAACAGTGCTAGTAAAACATCATAAAAATGAGCATAAAAATGTTGGTCAGGGGGTTTGGAGCACCTCACCTGTGAGGACAGGCTGAGGGAGTTGGGGTTGTTCAGCCTGGAGAAGAAGAGGCTCTAGGGAGACCTTATAGTGGCCTTCCGATATCTGAAGGGGGCCTACAGGAAAGCTAGTGAAGGACTCTTTATCAGGGAGTGTCATGCTAGGACAAGGGGTAATGGTTTCAAACTGAAGGAGGGCAGATTTAGACTATATATTGGGAAGAAGTTCTTAACTGTGAGAGTGGTGAGACACTGGAACAGGCTGCCCAAAGAGGGATCCAAGGCCAGGCTGGATGGGCCTTTGAGCAACCTGGTCTAGGGGGAGAGAGGTGTCCCTGCCCACAGCATGGGGGTTGGAACTAGATGATCTTTAAGGTCCCTACCATTCCATGATTCTATGAAAAATCTAGCTGACTGGTTTGATTTAGTAAGCTGTTTCCAAATGTTTGTTTACGCTAACTCAGATTACTGGTTACTGTCAATTCTGTGACAAAATAATTTTCTGAAAGTTCTTCTAACTGAGCCATGTACTAATCAGCAATTTGTATTCTGTTAAATTCCATTAAACAATACAGACACTTGTCAGATCATTTCAGGATTATTTTTAGATTGTTTTAAAAGGGGATTTTACATAAGAAAAGGGATACCATCTTTATTTGTTCATTTCAGTTGTGGAAAAGTCCAGATAAATATTATATTCTCCAGTAAATGTGATAATAAAAATTTCCCTTAGGTGTTTTCATCTGACACATGACATCATTTGAGTCATGAGTTATGAAAAGGATGAGTAAAACTGCCTGGAAACCAGAATGAAATCAATTGAGCAAATTTCATGATCAAGATAGAAGATAGAAAAAAAAAAGCCAAAAAAATCCCAAACCCAAACAAACAGCTTTAATTAGGCTAATATACATTTTAGACATTTTGCTTTTAATCCAAGGTGCTGGTAATAGTATAGTATGGCAATATTTTAAAATACATGACAAGATCTAGGACTTGGAGTTTAAAATGATCCCAATAATAGCTGAATTTACAATATTGAATTCTGTAGTTCATTAGTAAATACTGTGCTTTGTTATGTAGATTTTTTAGGGACACCTAGGAGGAATATTCCTATCCCATAATGCTGTATTACTGCACAAAACTGTACAAAAGTTAGCTGGTAGTGGAACTAACTGAAAGAGCAGTTTAACAGAACATGACATGATATTTCCTAATTACTCTTTGATGCTAATGAAGAACTTCAATAATGGAGTGGATCCAAATGATGTGGGAACCTAAAATAGCATGAGTTGAAGTGCTGAAGTTCAATACTGTGATGTATTAAAAAAGTGCTTGTTCAGTGTTTAGCCAAACTGTGCTGGTGAGTAACTTTACTAGGTACGTCCCTATTCAGTCTTCGTTTGGGAGCATTCATATGTAGACCTAGCTTCATCTGAGTAGTTTGGCATCTCCCTTCTGTGTGGGTTTGATTTGAACCAAAGAGAGAGGATTCTGTGCATATCTTAGAGGGTGTTGTGGGAGTGCTGACCACACAAAAGCAGACTCCTTGCACAAAGCAGCTTGGACCATGCTTTGTACACATGTACCTGGTGGTAGCAGTGCCTGGAGAGGTGGAACTCCTCATTTGGTTGGGTACTGACTCCTTTACTGCATAGAACAGGTTGTTAAATCTAACAGTTGGAGATCACCTGTCGATTAGTGATGGATCCTGAAGGGCTGTCATGCATCCTTATTGTAGTGTGGTCAATCATACATGTTAAATTAAAAAACCAATACTGTTAGAACCCAGCAGCAGTCTACTGAGCATGCCTTGGCCCACATTTTCTCAAGCCCTGCAAGTACTGCAAGTCTACACAGTGATAGTGCTATGGATAATATCCTGCTTAATGGAAGATTAATGAAAGGGAAATTAATATGATACTGTCCTAGGAATAAAAGTATCAAACCTGGTTTATTCTGAAGTGTAGTAGTGCAGTGTTTAATGCATACCAGACAGAATGATGCAATTTCAGTTAGAATTGACTCATCTGTGAGAGCTCCAGATAATTCACGTTGCTGCTCTGCAAGTTACTGTATCTAAAATAACTAATACATATATGACCTTTTAAAATATTTGAATAAATGCTGATAGATGACTTGTGCCTTTTCACCTGAAAATATCTTTTGCTTATTACAGTTAGAGAAGGATTTCAGACCTACAGCCAAATACTGATGTAGTTTCACTTGTGCAGCTGTTACAGTAAGTACAGAGAGAAAATTGTTTCATTTCAGCGTACTCCCTGAACTTATTACTAGTCATTGGAACTGAGAAGCTGCCCTAATTTGCATGAGTGGAACAAAAGGAAAAGAAAAAATTGAAATATGGCTAAAAGTAGCAGTTGAAGTACTAGGTGCTGCAGCTTATAGTCTCAACGTTCTATTAGGACTGCTTTAATGCTTCAACTTAATGTATTATTGGTGTTTGCATTCTGGTTCTACCTAGACAGTCAGAGCTAAGAGCTACTGAACCATACATGCACTAGAAGAGAGTGTAGTCATCTGAAGCATTTATAGCTGAAAAGACAAGACAGGTAAAAAGAGGCCTGAGCAGGCATTCATTAGCCCAGACATACAGGGTAGAGTATTAGGATTTCTCTATTGTATTAACAACTCTCTTTCTCCATTATACTGCTCTGTGTATAGCTCATATATGTATTTTTTTTAAGAACTGATATGAGTCAAAACAAATCCCAATACTAGTTCTACCACATGTCAGAAGGAAGGTTTATAGGACCCTGAACCTTTCCAGTGACAATGGTGAGCATAAAGCAGATCACAAGCCCCTAAGCTCTGCTGTGCTTAAAAAACTTGGGCTGACTGCCAGAGCTGGAGTTGCTGAGAGGAGGCACTAACAGAAGGGAGAGGGAAAGTGAGAAGGTGGTGACAGGAGTTTAGGGAATGAATGAAAGAAAAGAGGTTATGGTAGAGTTTAGTATGCAAGTGGAGTGAAGTTCAGCTTCCAGAGCCTTGGAAACTATTGAAAAAGGTAAATGTTCTGTCGGCCAGGAGGCTGGTGACAGTACTTATGGTGACAAAGGTTTTAGTTCTGTTGTTGTGAAGTCTCATCTTGATAAGCTGTGGGCTGGGTTCCAGTGGCTTAACGTCTTTCCCTCTGGTCTGTCACTGAGGCAGTGAGGTCCTTGACCTCTCAATTATTATGCTAACTCACAGTCCAGTAATTCCTTGCAGCTGTCTTGCAAGGAGTTCATCAGAGCATGATGCAGCCTTTTTCGTGTGGATCAGATGTTGCAGCAAGTCCATAAGCAAAAGCTAAAAGGTCTTATGTGTCCTGGAGTAATATCTGACTCTCATCAGTTAGCAGTTCTTGATTAGACTCCTTGTGTACTCCCTCTTTAAGGTTTTCATGAAGCTTAACACATAATCTAAATCCCTTTTAAGACTCTTAATTGTGCAGATGGCTTTGCACATACGTACATACTAGTTTTATCCCATGTGATTAGTGAAGAATTTCTTGAAAAACATTCCTCCCCAAAATCTTATGGTTACCTTCAGTATGGCAGCTGCAAGCTAGTTTGTCAGTCTTTTTAAATGATTTGTTTTGTTAAAGAAAAACACATATTCGAGTGCAGGCATTTTTGTGTCTACATACACGCTTGAAATGGCAGGCTTTTTAAATGGCTTTGGTTATGGCTTTTCAGACGTTTCAAATTTGTTTAATCATGTAATATTTCCAAGAAACTTTATAAAGCATTAAAGCTCATAAGAGATAAGCGTCACTCCTCTGAAAATGTAATTTGATTATATATTGCTTGATGAAGAATACAGGAAAATAAGTCACCTTCTTTTTGAAGCACCAGGTATATCCTATATAAAAAAAGATTAATTGCTGCATGACTTTCTGAAATGGTTTGAAAAGCTTAACTTACTTTGTTTAAAATACATTTTTAACAAATTCCAGTAGAGCTGTTAAGTCAGGAAGTAATAGAATTGGGCTCCTAAATTTTATGCAAAGTGCATAGCCCATCATGTCTGATAAGAGGAATCTTATGATGTCAAACCATGAGCAATTAGCCTAACAGTCTTTAGGAAATAAAAACCCAAAATAAACAAAGCCCCTCAGCAAGTTAATGAGATGTATTCTACATAAATATTTAAGACTAAATAGTGGACTTAAACCACTTCCAGATTTTAGAAATTCGCATTCCTTTCTTCTCTTTTTCTCCTCTCGTCAATTCATTGAAATAAGCAGAAATGGGTAAACAAAAGCCTATGATTTCTTAAGTCAAATTTCTTCTGCATAATAGTGTAATATCTTTTTTTTTTTTTCCCCTGACAGATACTTTCAGTAGAACAAGCATTGAGAAACGGAAGTTCTTAGTCTTGATTCCGTGGCATCAAGAACTCATCAGGCACCATCTTCAGTCTATTTCTTCAATATTTTTGGCCAAGCAGAGGGAGAGCTTTCTTCAGCGCTTGACCAACTGTCTCACCTGGACTTCCTTACTGTTTTTCTCATATTACAAATGCCTAAGAACAGCAAAGTAGTGAAAAGAGAACTAGATGATGAGGTCATTGAGTCAGTTAAGGACCTTCTCTCTAATGAAGACTCTTCAGATGATGCCTTTAAGAAGAGTGAACTTATGGTTGATGATCAGGAAGAAAAAGATGTAGATGTTGAAGAAGGCTCAGATGTAGAAGATGAAAGACCTGCTTGGAACAGCAAACTCCAGTATATTCTGGCACAAGTTGGATTTTCTGTGGGATTGGGGAATGTGTGGCGATTCCCATATTTGTGTCAGAAAAATGGCGGAGGTAAGTCTTGTGATAGCTAGTTGTAGCTAAATAATGAAGCTACCCTTTCAGATTTCAAGGTTAGCAAAGATGTTCACAGTAGAACCTGCTCCAGCATGTCAAGTTTTTCATTAATTTCTGCCAGAGCCCATGAGGAAAATCCCATATTCTCTTTATTGAGAGAGACGCATCTGTTTAAGTAGCAGATTCTTCTAACTTTCCATTTTCTCATTTTAGGGGAGAAAGTTCTTGATATGACCTTAACTAGGGATTGAACTAGTAGCTAAGCAAAACACGTATTTGTGGAAGGGTTATGTTATTTAGGACCTGGCTATTATTGTGCTGAAGTGTTCTTTTTAGTACTTGGACAATAAATCAAGGCATTAAAGCTGCATCCACTTGAAACACCAAAGTAGTATTCAGTCTTTAGTATTTAGCAGTACTAAGCTTTCCCATGTTTACTTTTTAATTGCTTTTAGCTCCTTGGCCGTTTGATCATGATTTACTTTCTGCAAGAACAACAAAATAGTGTAGGAGTGAAAACGATTTTTTAACTGATAATGAATAATTTAAATCACTAAGGAAATGCATCCTTTTTGTGCTGTTATATAGATAACTATGTTCCTAAATAACAGTTTTCCTTTCCCTTAGAACAGTAGTATCAAGGTGTTTATTTATTAGCTGTCCATAGTAGAGTATAAAGTATGAGACTGGAGACCTTCCTTCCTCTGTGAAGGATATGCTTTATCCTATGCTATACTATTCCCTGCTATACTACATTAATGCACATCCCATTGTAGATAATTATTTAGTTGCCTTCGAAACACATGGCACTTTTTATGATAGAAAAAATCAATCTGTACCACAGACTAGAAAGTAAAGAGCAACATTTTATTTATGGTAGAATTTAAAAGCTGATTGACAAAAACAATGTAATTGAGGAGTACAGAAATGAGCCTAGAATGTAATCAGAGTAAAATTTTGTACTTTATTTGTTTTCCCTCAGTCAGCTCACGCAGTAAAAATGGGGTTTATACTTTCAAATACTCTATCTCCAGGATAAAGTCTAAACTCTTTTTTATCTAGTTATTATAAGATATTTTTCACTCTCAGTTAACATCCTTTTTTTCTTCTTTATTCTGGGGAGAATGTCACTGAATAGTTGATCTAGTGATTTGTGTGGAATCTAAAATTTTCTTCATCTATAATTGTATTATTAACTGAGAAAACACGCTGAATGTAGTTTCTTAGAAAACATAGCTTTTCAGTGGATAGCAATCTCATCTAGTCTGCTAGACACAGTATAGAATTGATTGTGTATCCCTACTAGTTGAAAAAAAATATTTTTTTTAATTAACTGTTTTTAAAACAAACTTGTTCATAGTTAAAGGTGTAGCTATTAAAATGTTTATATTCTGTATCATTTCATCCTAAGTATGGTGTCAAGATGTAGTTTCAAGGACAATGCATTTACAACATTTTGTTTTGTGTAGTTGTGTCCCTTTTGAAAGTCTGTGTTTAGCATAGTTAGTTACTGATTTTGCAAACCTATTGGATCCTTATTCAAACAACAGACATCAGTTGGTGTGCTCCTTAGGCTGTTGGTTTCATATCATCAAGCGCTTTTGAAGCTACTCTGCCAGTGAGTGAAAATTTAATTAAGATCAAATATAAATAAATTAATAATTTAATATTTTAGGAAAAAACCTAAAACCAACCTTCAGGGATTATGGCACTTCATTAATGAAACTCAAAAAAATAAATATAGAGTCATTTCAGGTTGAAATTAAATGTTTTCCCCTGTCTTGTGATTGTGGGAACTTGGATGTATAACATAATCTGTGGAGACATGATACTTTCTGCGCAGGGCTGGGACAAGGTTTTATTTGTTTTTTACCAATAACTTTGCACTGTTTTAGTGAATTGCATCCTTCAGAACCACGGAGAAAAGCAACTGAAAAGAAAAGCTTTTCTGGGTTTCAAGTTAAGCATAGTGCAAAATGGAGAGGGTGACATAAAACATTAAAATGTGTACAGTACGTTGGTGTCTGTATATGGTGTACAAATGCACAGGGAGTTCTCAGAAGTGTGTAACAGCGGGAGTGAGGAACAACTTCAAATGCATGGTAAGAAAAGCTACTTGCATTTTATATGAGGTTCCAGTTTATTTTTTTGTTTTATATATGTTTAATTCTAGATAAAATTAGAGTGGTTTTATGCAACCCATTTTAAATAGCAGTGTCAGAACTGTTCTGTAGTCTTTTGCTGAGAAAGTTTTACTATAAATACCTGTTGAAGTCTCTGAGTATAACGTAAATAGTTTTTCTGTGCATTTTCACTGGTATTCTTTCAGTGAAGAATATGACTAAGTCTCCACCTTCAGTTTTGTCCAAACATTCTTCATTTTCTTCCCTATGTTTAAAGAACTTAATCTGGCAAATACCATCAGGTGAGAGGAGTTTATTAAAACTCCGTAAACTAATAAAAGTGCTTCAAATTAAACCCCAAAAGAAGTAAAAACCATCGTTACTCATTATTTTCCTTCACAGGTTTCTCCCAACATTAAGTGTTCCAAAGCTACCAGTAAAAGAGAAGGCTGTGTGGGAGTCTTCAGTTTTGTCTTTTTTTTTTTAATGTCTGTTTCAAAAAGAACAAAACCAACAAAATAAACATAGAAAAGACACAGCCAAGTTAGCCATAATAGATGTATATTATTAGAGAATTTTTGTAGATAATAAAATTGGGGGTTTACCACCCTGTTTTATAAAGGGAATGGGTTTGTTTGTGGCTATGGCCTGTGGTATGGCAGCACTCCTACCTTCAGAGCTCTGTACTGCTTCAGTGAGGTATCTCTGCTACCGTCTTCAAAGGTAACTTGTCTATCACTACATTGCACTGACATTTGGATCCATAGGTATCTTTGCAATCTTTGCTTCTAGGACTGGTTTCTACCATGAAAACAACTTCCTTCACTTTATTTCTTGTCATTGTTTAATGGTTTTTCCTGTTAAACTCATAAATATTTGGAGTAATATCTGATTTTTTTTTTCCTCAACTAAGTTACAGCTAGACTGTATAGCTCTTTGGTGGCTTTCACACTTGGTTATTCCCTCGTTGTGAGAGGTGAGAGAAAAGGCTGGCAGCAGCTAGGATGAACTTTGATCCACATTGGGGATGTAGCAGTAATGCAGGAAGTATCATGAGAAAAAAAAGAGGCTGTGAGGAGACAAAGCACTCCAGGGCACTCATTTTCTTGACTTAATGTAAGAGGAAGGGCCCAAACGAGTTGGGCCCAAAGGAGTAGGCTCTGTGAGTGAGAGGACAAAAGTGTTCAGTAAGGTTTTGAGGAACTGACTGTAGATCTCTGCCTCCTTCACCTCTGTCCTCACCACAGGTCCTCTTGCCTCTTGTAGGCAATGCCCAGTATCTGCTGTTTAAGCCACCTCTTCCATTCTTTGCAGCCTAACAGATGAGAAAACTATTCCCTCCTTGATGCCTCACAAAGGTGATTTGCATTGGAGCTTGGATACACTCTAACTTAGCTTTAAAGGTTTTTTTTCTATTTCTCATCTTTACACTATACAGTTTGTTTATTTCCTCTTTACTGTATGAAGACCAATATGTGTGTTTGTTCTAGGCACAGTTCCTGTAAAACAATTTCATAACCTATGTTAGCATGCAGTAGGTTCAGAGCTGTCTCAGCTTCCTATGATTATAGTGAGCCTTAAAAATAAACCACTCAGGTCTACCCAGTCTTGCTGCGAGGCTAATGAAAAGTGATAAACTAGACTATATTTTCGTGCTGCTCATTGCTATCATCTTGTGAATTGCTTCCACACCTTCCACTTTTTTCAATCAAAGGAAATATTTAAAGTTTATTCTGTTTAGTTGTCATTTTCCTTTAGGATTAGCAGAAGTAAAACAGTACTTTCACATATTAGAAATAAAAAAAGCAAACTAAATTAGCTACCCTGCTAGCATAAATGATATTAGAGTGAGTGTTACTATGAAAATAAGTGAACATAGTTATCTAAGAGATGCTTCTAGTGTTGCAGGTGTTTTTGGGAGTCTACAAAGTATTGCACATCCGAATACTTTGTGTTGCATTTTCATGAGTATTAACGTAATTTTACTGATTTTTTTTTTTAAGGTCAGTCTTTTTAATATCTCCGTGATGTAAAAAGTCAAAAGAACCAGTAAATAATGATAGATAAAAGCTATGAACAGCACAGGGAAATCTGTAGCAGATTACCTTGCCATTTTGGAAAGATTGACATGAATAGAGTTTTACATCGTGACTTTTTACAGTTAGATAGTCTGGATTTTTTACTGAAATGCCAGCAGATTAAACAGTCAAGTTCTGTGGTCTTATAAAAAGCACAGCAGCTATTGCTGAGAAGTGCAATATAAATTGTTAAAGACTAAGTAGTTATTAGAGGCTACAGTCTGATTGTCTAGTACAAGCAGAATGGGAGCAAAGCAAGTGTTGCCTTGTATTCCCCTTGTATTCTATGACTGAGTGTGGATTCAGTGACTTCATTATTTACCTTTTGCTCAATTTATAATCAATGCCTTGAATTCACTGATGACTTCAATACTATTTTGTGAGTTCTGGTTTAAACTCAAAATTTATTTGTACTTCAGGGTGCTGAAGATGTCTTAGTTTTACTTTGCAAGTGTAATTCCTTATTAAAGGATTTTCATCCTTTAAGCATAGGTGTTTTTTTTAAATGTGCACACCTGAATATATTTAAACTGTTAAAGACTAGTGACAGAAAGACTATCAGTAGGATAGACTACAAACCTACAGATATAAAAAAAATCTATTATCAGAGTTCTCCTGATAAAAGCACTTCATATTTTGGAATGGTAAATAATTTTACTTATAGAAGCTTATACTGTAAATCTGTAGTGTTTTGTTGCCCACTTGTCATAACTTTAAAAATTTTAACATTCAACATTAAGTTGATTTTCATCTTAATATCAACTTCTTGCTGGATTTCTGTTAGAAAACTGTAAGGACTAGGATGTCTCTTCAAGACAGTGGTAAATCTCACCTTCATTGAATAAGAATTAAACGGGACACTAGGCAATTAAAAGCTGGCATAGCAGCAGTTGAAATACATCTGAAAAGTTATTATATATTTCAGGTTTTATCAAGAATGGATAGGAGAAGAAAAGTTATATAGTATCAAGATGGTTATGTCATCTTGCATTATTTTAAACTCTTTAAGCACTATGAACTATGTTATTTACCCCTGAGCATTTATAAGAACTTAAATCAAAACCAGTGTTAATGTTCCACTTCTAACAATAGTCTTGCCAAAGGTGGTGCACGTTGCAGTATCAAGAGAAGCAATTTGTCAGTTATCCCATTGCAGTTCTTGGTTAAATAAAAAATTAAGAAATCAAAGCAGTGCGGTATGTGGTCAACAGTTCCTCATTTTCTTTTTTGTATCTTTGTCATTTATTCTAGTGAAGACAGATGACGATTTTTTTTGTTAGATTTTTTTTATCCTCTGATATTGAGATGAGTTTTTAATATGAAAGACAGTATTTAAGGCCAAAATATGCAAAAAATGACCTTACAGTAGGATGATTTTTAAAATGTAGAAAAGAGACCTGGAGATCCTGAGCTGCACAGAATTGTAATATTCAGAAGTCTGCTTAGCTGTTGGATATAGCAGATGGCATAACTAATTGTAGGATGCCATTCAAGGCCAGCATGTATAGTTTATTGATCTAATTCAAATAAAAAATATACAACACTGTAACTCCAAGGACCCTTGTTTTCATGCACAGGCAAATAAGAGACATGTCGAGCCATTTCCATAATAATTCTGTTTTATGATGAAGTGTCTTATAGTTCTTTGAAGTATGCCTAGCTTCAAGGAAAGGGTGAAACAAAATAGTTTTCCAAAGACGCTTGTGGTGTCCTGTTGACACAGAAGACCTTTGCAGTTGTGATGTGCAGTTGTATAATCCAGCTGTGTCCAAGCTGTATTGCACTGAAACTCACACAGGCACTGTTTTCCATGATGTCCTTCATTTGGCGAGGGGCAGGAGCTCAGCAGGGAGCCCAGCAGGCTTGAAGGATCAGAAGAGCAGCACTTCTGGTGCCCCACACAAGCCCTTGTACAGAGGTGAACTCTGCTGGCTGCCCACACTGAATTACAGGGTCATGCCATGTGTAATGTAATGTGGAGTTAACACTGCATTTATTTAACTCGTTTAGTTGAATCCAAGTGATAAATCTTGCAATTTAGATTGATACTGCACCATAAAACACCCATGTAAGCCCAGTCTTTAAACATGTGCTTAACTTTGCAGCCTTGTGACTAAGGTTGTGGACTGGGAAACTGAAGAGCTGGGTTCAGTTCCTGCTCTAGTACAGTCCTCCAGTGGGATACAGGGTAAGTCACTTAGGCCCCAGTTTTTTTGAGTTGTTTAGGCTTGTCTCTGCTCAGCTGTGAAACACATATCTAATTCAGACCTCAGGTATCATTTACAGTAGTATCGTACGGTGTAAAAACAATGTACTGTTGCATTCCAATTAATTGTATGACCATGTTTTTAAACACAGTGATGCCAAAGCTTCTCATTTGCAATGTGAGTTAACAGTACGCTTCTTCTCACAGAAACTTTGAGAGAATGTTGATGAAAACAAGTGTACTTAATGGTATTGTTTGTCTTATATACTCCTTTAAAGACAGATAGTCTCCTGTAAGTGATTGCAGTACCCTTCTGCAGTTTTCCTCAGATTTATTTCCTTCTGTCTCTGTTGTCTCTCTTATCATAGTAGAAAGTCAGTCTTTTGCATTCTTTCTGTTTTGTGTACGTACAAGATGAACCAGAAGAGAGAACAAAGTGTTGAATGGGAATGTAGGGCTATCTCAGTAGAAATAATATTTAAGTCAACACTATAGTGTGCTGAAATGAATAGCTAGGCCATGATGTTTGGCTCCATGAAAGGAGTATTGTAACCTCAAAATCAGTATAGTGTTCCTAGCTTGGCATAGGTGTTGACCAAATGCTGCTGTAGCAATATCATTGCATGTCATATTATGCAATGAAAGTAAAACTCAAGAAACTATTTCATTGCTAGGAAAAGCCTATAGACTATGACATAAATAAGATCAATATTCTTTGTCTGATCCACCAGTAGTTTTTCTCAGACTTTATTTCCTCTGTCTTTTTTCCTGGTATTCTTAAAACTGTAGTTACTCCATGCTTAGGATCATTGTAACATCTTTATAATGGAAGATTATGTCCAGTTTGTGTGTATTTCAAGAAGAGCAAAGAGGCAAGTGGACCTAAATAGGGGCGGATAGTACCAGAAGATCTGAGGCTTCTGACACAGCTTAGGAAAGTTTAACTTTTCTATAATAAAGCGTATTCCATGAGATAAGATGACTACTAAGGTGTCGTGACTTAGGGCTGGGCCGACCACTAAACAGGGACAGACGCTCTCTAACCCCTCCTCCCCCCCCGAACAGGAAGGAAAAGGGAATGAAGCAGACAGACTTTTGGGTTAGGAAAGAAAAACTAAAACAGCTTTAATGAAACAATAATAGAAATAATACTGAAATGATAAAAATAAAGAGCTATATATAACTACATATAAGCCCAGTATTGAACCCAGCTCCTCTGGATAGCAATCCCCACTGATGCTGCAGAGCCGATGGCACTGGCGAAGCCCCAGGCTCAGCAGTGGTGGGAGCTGGGTACAGGGACCTGGATTTGGCAGCTTGGGATCAGGATCAAAAGCAGGAGGTCAGATGGAGTCCTCCCTGGACGCCAGCCTTTGCAGAAAGGGAAAGAAACTCTTGTGATCACTCAATTTATACTAAATATGACATATATGGAATGGAATACTCTCGTTGGTCACCTGTCCTGTCTATTACCCCCCAGAGATGCAACCTTGTACTTCCTTGTGACCCCTCTTACTCCTCGGCACCCCCAGCGTGGCACACAAGAGCCAGCAGTGGCCTTGGTCACTACAGGAATAAGTATCAGCAAGAGCCTTTCTGCATCCCAGTCCCAGGCAGTAACTGCAAACATCAGGTGTTATCACTGCCAGTAGCACACATTGTCTGCAAAAACATGCTGCTAACTTCAGAAAGTGCAGCCTCTTAGAAGAGACTAAACTGGGAAGTAAAAAACACTAAACAGAATTAGGTTTTTTAGCTCAAACCAGGACATAAGGATATGCAAATGACACTCTGTTTTGATAGACTCTTAGAAAAGCCCTACAAAGTTGCTGGGTGAAGAAATTTAAAGTAGGACTTAGCTTGAGTTGAGGATAGATTTCAAATTGGTTTCTGAACTTTGCTCAGCTTCTCGCTTGTCACAGAGATGAATAGACTGATTATACCGCTTCATGGCTCTGAGTCTAAGCTTCCGAGATCTTTAGATGTTTGCTTTGTAGCTCACTTTGACATGCTGCAGTTACACCTCTGAGTTGCTTTTCTTTAGCCTTACATTGGTTGCAATCAAAAATCCTGAGCCCCTTGAGTCAATTGGCTGGCAGAGTACTCTGTGTTGCAGTGTAAGAGCCACACATTTGAAAGTTAGGTGCCACGTTAATAACTGCTGAAGCTTAAATGTTTTGTTAGCTCTAAATGTTTTAAATGTTTTCTTAGTACTGAATGCTCTGCAAAACCAAGGAGGAAGTTAGGCTCTGGACTTGCTATTGCACTTACTGTGTGGATATGTTTACTTCTAGTTAGTTTTACTGAAATAAACAGAAGTACATCCTTAAGTTAGAATTGTGTATGACCACTTCCTGGGAATAAGAGCATGAAAAAAGTTATTGTTTTATGTATATGTGGATGTATATATACATCTACTTACACATATGATGAAGTAACAGTTGAATTTTCAAATATGTCTTCAAGGAGAGTTTGTGACTACTGTAAGATCTGGATCTACAACATTTCATTTCCACCTCATGTCTCTAGTCTCTGTCTGGAGCCTGGTAGAAATGACCTTCTACAGTTTTCCTGCTTAGCTAGAGAGAGTCATTATTCTGTACACTGGGAAATACCCTTTCTGAGCATCTGAGGTGCATGGGGAGAAATCAACAGATGATCTTCTGAAACCGCTTAAGATTGGATGAAATTTGGAACGTTGTATGCAGAGTATTTTCCATATTTCTTTTATAAATTTGTTCTTGCTGCTTTGTTAAAAGTTGAGGTGTAGAGTTTTTTGAGGAGTGCTGACTCCGCTCCTGATTGACTCACTATATTTCTAAAAAACTTTGATCGAATGCCCAAAATGTCACACAACCGGACAACTAGTTTAGATAATAATTCACTTTTATTGCGGTTTGCCCCAAAATGTTACAGTGCTTTAGAAATGCAGTGTCTCTGGGTTTTTCATGTCTTACAAGGTATATAGGCAACATTCAGATAAAATCACTCTTTGCATGTGAATAAAAAGGCTTTGCAGTGGATGACACTAACTCAGACTTGAAGCTATGAGGATTCACCTTTGTTGTGTCAAGATCTGACTCTCTTCAATCGCTCTAATTTATGCTTTGTCCCTTTTGTAGGTGCCTATCTTGTACCATACTTAGTCTTGCTACTGATAATAGGGATTCCACTCTTTTTCTTGGAGCTTGCTGTGGGGCAGAGGATCCGCCGAGGGAGTATTGGTGTGTGGAATTATATCAGCCCTAAACTTGGAGGAATTGGATTTGCAAGCTGTGTAGTAAGTTTTTAGTGTTAACTGTGTGATGTGCTTTCAGTCTGTACAATTTAGACTTTCTGTTTTGCAGCTGGGCATCAAGGTCAGTTCACAATGTTTTGGAAGATCTTGAAACTTAGATGAGCATATTAAAAAATGTGATATAGATGTATCTGCAAAACCAGTCAATTTATGTTTTGTGATTCTGTTGAAATTAGAAATTAGGGAGCAGAATAGTCTTTTGGAGCAAAAACTCCTGTACAAGTGTCGGTGTTAAGTGATAGATACAGAGAAATGTGGAAATATAGACAATAGCATGTATTTTAATTGGACAAGCCATTCAGTTCTTACTCTGACTTTAGTTAAAATTAGAACTTCAGCAGGGATTTGTTTATTTGTTTTTTATTTTAATTTACAAATGTAGTTATTTAATGTAACTTTTTGAGCTGTCTTTTTTTGTTGTTTTTACAGGTGTGTTTCTTTGTAGCCCTTTACTACAATGTCATTATTGGATGGAGTCTGTTTTACTTTTCCCAGTCTTTTCAGCATCCATTACCATGGGACCAGTGTCCATTAGTTAAAAATGCATCTCATACCTGTAAGTCTATATTGATGTTTTTAAAAATCGTGTAAAATACACAAAATTTGAGATTTTCAAACAAAAAGTAAAAAATCCCACAATTCAAGGAGGTGTTTGTGGGAAAAAGTGGTGTATACAAAGCTGCTTTTACACCTTAATATGATATCACATTACAGTATTTGGAAAAAATACAACCAAAAACCTAATCTAAGATAAATATACTGTATTTCAAAGGAACATTAATGTCAACAGGGTCTTAAAGAGTGCTAAAATTATGTGAATGCTATCTAGTATATTGCAGAAAAAAACCTGATTTTTTTTTCTGATTTTGATAGTGCTTTTTATTCTTGGTGAAGAACGACAACGGAAGAAAGATATTTCTATATTTCAGTTAGTAGAACTTCCTGGTGAAAAGCAAAGAGCGTTGCATTACTAACAAAGTAGAAAACGAAAAACTGTAAACATGAATGAAATGCATGTGATAAAAGCATTATTTGCTTTGTAAACCAATAGAAATAATTTTTTAACTGGTTGAAGGGAAGAAGACAGAGAGTT